AACCAAAAAAAAAAAAACAAGGCCTTCAAAATTTCTAAACCGGTCCAAAAGGCTACCCTCGGCAAATTATAATCTAAAATATTCTAAGTACTTTGGGGAAAGCTTCCATTCATACCGAGCCCCCCCACGAGTCTTAAACAAAATAATATAGAGAGCAAGGCCTGTTCGAACCTCAGAACAAGACCTAATTATTACTTGTTAAGGCGTTCTTCACAATCATAAAGAAAGAAGTAAAAAGAAACAAGCTTAAAAACTATTGAAGGGAAAAAGAGCCTTATATATATATATATAAAGATCTTTAGAAAGGCCAAACGGTCTCGACAAAAAGGTACAAAAGTACAAAAACAAGGAAAAGACTACAAGGCATTTAAACGGTTTGGTCTCCATCGGAGCCCGCCTCATCACCGGGGCCATCAGAGTCTTCTCCGCCCCCGGATCCACCCGAACCCTCAGAGTTTTCTTCATCCCCGGGATACACCAACTTCTTGTCCTCGCCCTTGAGCCCCTTAACATTTTCGACCTCGACCGACAAATTAAAACCCCGACCATGAACTTCCTCGAGGGCCTCCCTTCGAGACTGTCACTTCACATACTCGACAATATCTTTCAGGCGGGCCTAGGCTGCCTCATCATCATCTTTATACTGGGCCACCATCTCGTCAGCATCGGCTTTGGTTACTTCAACCACCGACTTGGACGCCTTAAGCTCCTTAGCAAGGGTTTCTCGATCGGAAACAACCGAGCTTAGCTGAGATTGGAGCGCCTCAATCTTTTGGGACTGTGCCTCAGCCTTTTCCCTCGTCGCTCGAAGCTAGACCGCCACTAAGGTCAACTGCGCCTGGGCAGTCTCCTTTTTCGAGGCCAGGCAGTCCATCCTGCCTCTCCACTCTTCGGCCTCGACATTGAGTGCATCCATCTCGGCTCGGAGTTGGTCGATCCGATCAATCTTCTGTTGAACATGCGGGTTCCGACCATTAGACACCGTGTCTAGCTCATCATCACTAACTTCAAAATTTTTTACCTGTTCAACCAGGTCGGCGTGTTCTTTCCGAGCCGCTTCTAACTCAGTTCGAAGGCCCTTAGCCTCTCCTTCACGCTACTTGCTGAGAAGTTTTACGTGTCTCTCTTCTTAGTAAGATCTCTAACTTTGGCTTCGAGTTGGTTCTGCTTATCCCGATACCAGAGGAAAGTTTCATGGTGAAGCACCGAGGCCTACAAATACAAAGAAAAATATTAGGATTATCAATGAATTAGTTCAAGTATAAAAGGAGAAATTGAAATCATCGAGAGTTATCTAAAGTTACCCGGTTCAACACCTGTTGTGCTTCGTTGAACAGGCATGGCACGTCCACCTCATTCATTTTGGCTTGGTCTTCTTCGGTCACCAGGCACCGGAGGTAACTGGCCAACCCTACGAGGGCGGAAAGAACCCGGGCATCCTCCGGAACGGTAATGATAATAGATCGCTTCTGATCAGGATCTACACTCGGGGAAGGGAACCAATTGATCAGTTTTGGGCTTGAGTTAGGCCCGCCTGCCCTCGAGGTCGGACTCTTCCTCGGTACCTCTATGTCACCCAATCTGATGACGTCTTCCATGGCGGTGGAATCCAGGCCATTAAAAAAGCAGCGGAGGGGGTCGTCCGCTCCGTGGGCCCCCTTGTTGGGGCTCTCTTTTACCGTTTGGGCCTCGTTGTACATGGACTCAGTAAACGAGGGTGACTCGGTGATGTCTATCACACCGAGTGCCTCCTTCGGGGCACTGCCTGCATCCCGGAAAGCCTCGGCCCCGATCTCCTCATCGACTCCCTGGCTTGAGGTAGATCTGCCTCACGAATCTCTAGTTCGAAGGCCCCCTGATTTTCGAGCTGCGATGGATCGCGGGCCACTAGAACAAAAGGTTCTTCTTCTTCGAATTCGTCCCTCAGTCGATACAGCGAATCTGAAGTTGGTACTCGGGCGCTGGTGTTTTCTCTCGACTTGCGTACCAGCCTTCTCCTTATTTTCTTTTTCTCCGAGCTCAGGGAACTCGAAGCCCTCTTCCTCTTCTTCTCTTCGGCCTGTCTCGGAGTAGGGGACTCGGCAGGAAAGTCCTCACCACCGACTGGAGGCCTCAACTTGACATCCTTGGATAAACCTACAAAAAGAAGTAAAGGGAGTAAGGACTTAATGTTAAAAGGAGAATCCTAATACTACCTACTCGGGAAAGAAGTCTCACCATGGGAACGGGCCTCCCAACGGCCCTTCGAGAGTTTGCGCCACGAGCACTCTGAGTAGGGCATATGTGAAACGATACCCTCGACCCACTCCTTGAGTCGAGGGATAGCATTTGGGACCCGAGCGATGGCTGCACCACCATAAAGCACCGATAAGGAAACAAGAAGTAAGTTATACTTACGTGATGTATTCCACTTCTCGGGGAATGACCTGCACTCAGCTGGGATCAAGTCTGAAGTCCTCTCTCAGACAAAATAACCTTCCCAGCCCCGATACCGGTCCTCATCAATACTCGAGAATGGGGCTTTACTGACCCGATGCACAAGCTTTATCAGTCCACCCGGAAGATTCGGGGATTGTACAAGCGAAGAAGATGGTCGATGGTGAATGAGCACCCGTCGATTTTGTTCAAAAAAACCGAAGGAGGATCACAATCCTCCACGGTGAAGGATGAATCTGACCGAGGCATACCTCGTATCTCTTACAAAAATCTATAATGACCGGGTCCACGGGGCCCAGTGTAAAGGGATAAGTGTAAATACTTAAGTATCACTCGTCATATATGGCTTCATCAGGGTCGGGGACCACTATGTTTTTATCGGCCTGGTTGCCATCTTTTCAGACCGTAGGGAGGACCTTTTCGATAATCGAGCAGATGTATCTAGAGACCTCCTCACATCGGTCCTGTACGGAGGAGGGCTTTTCGACCTTGAAATCGATGTTGGCCGAGCATCCCCCAAGGATAAACATTTTCAAAGGAGGTTCAGGTACTGGTTCATCGACGACCGCGCGTAAAACGGTCTCCTCGGCCTCAGTAGCCGGCCGCGGAGTAGAATAAGCTTCTTTCTGGGAAACAGTTTTGGAAGTCTTTGCCATTTATTTAGAAGGAAAATCTGAAAAAGGCGAAGAAAGAAAGGAAGTTGAAGGATTAGACTTGCCGGCTTGAGATGAAGATGGGTAAAAATTCTTGCAAAGGACCCCGAATAATAAGGGTAAAAATGCTAAAGAGTTTGAAATCTTAAAGGTACGAGGGTAGAAGGTTTGGATGCAAAGTTAAAATGAACAAAGAAGGGGGTATTTATAGTAGTTCAGCGGCGTTTTGCATCCAGGGACGACCGACATGCCATTGACATGCATTTAATGCCATTATGACTTGACTGACGAGACATTTCAGTTGTTTTGTCGTTTCTGTCACGATGTATTGAAGTAAGAATTGGAAGCTCATGTTGTTTCTCGTCGTTTACTCTTCAAAAAATGAGGGGACTATCTGTATACGGGTGAAATCGAGCTCATGGTTCATCCTAGCCTCCGACAAAATAAGCCAGGCTCGAGACATGGCAACAAGGGACCAAAATCGAGCCAAAGTCCCACAGGACAAGAATCCGGGGACATGACGTCTGCCTTCGAGAATATCGAGGCCATGGTCCCGGAATCGATCCTAACCTCGATCGACTTCGAAGGACATTGTCAAACAATCCAGCATAGCCAAAAGGCCGAAATATCCGTAACCGGCCGAATATTATGGCGGGGATCTCGACACGTATTGATGAGGAACCGACAATCATTGAATCAAAAGATTTTTTTACCTTTTATAGAGTTGTACCTAAAATAGGAATCCCCTACTATATAAATGGGGTCTGGTAATTCATGAAATACATTGTAACACGCACTCAAAAGTAATATATTGTTATTTCCTTTGTCTTCAACTCTTGTCCTTTTGCGTGGATACCTGTCTTAGTGAGCTCGGTTGGAGAGTGGCTATTTCACTAAGGCTGGAACTATCCAACTCGTATGATTTGAATTTATTTTGTCTTTGTTTATTCAATAGCAATTTAATTTATCGTTTTGTATCAAGTTAATTCGCGTATCCTTAAAACCACTTACAAATTTAATTGTTATCCGATTTTGAGGGTAAACAATTGTAATCATTTTGAATTAATAATAATTATAAATATTTTAAAGAATTCAAACTAAGGGAGTTAAGTGTAATATCACAAATCACATAGGACGTAAGTGTTATAAAACAAATAAGAAGGGAGGTCTTTGAAATTACCCCTTAAATTTTCCCATTTAAGTAAAGTGAAAGAGAGAAATTGTTTTCAGTTGGAAAATTCTGAAACCCAAAAAAAAAAAAAGAATAAGGAGGCACATACTTCCCCAATTTCGAGTGTGTGGAGTGCCACTACTGTGAACGAAGAGGGATAGTGGGATACTGAGGAAAAAGTGAAACAAAAATGAGAATGAGTTAATGACAACAAAAGCGAATACTCCTGCACTTTTAATAGTCAATTTGAAATTTGGCCAACATTCAGATCTATCCCCTTTGGAGTTTTCTGAAGATAGCCATTTCTAAAATCCCTCACGAACATGTCTCCTACAGACAATGATTTCGATCTCAGAGTATTTTAATCCCCCATTTCCTTTCTCTCTCATTCTATTTTGTGTTTGTAAGTTCAACGCACTCTTAACTATATTTCTTACTCTATAATTTTTCTGCAGCGCACATCTACTCCTCCTAGCGGCATGGGAATCAGGTAATAGACAAGACCAATTCTTCTTTCTAAAACACACATTTAGGGTTTTGATTTGTAAAATGTAGTGATTTGTGATTTTGTACATTTGCAGTGAGTATAATTTTGCAGATATAAACAATTTGGAGCACTGTGCTAAGTATCTCAACCAAACTCTGGTCACCTTTGGATTCCCTGCTTCCCTCGATCTCTTTGCGCATGACCCTGTACGACCATTTCTTAGTTCTTCTTTTATTCTTATTTTTTCCGTTAATTTTGTTGTTCTCGTTGTATTTTAGGGAAAATTTACAGTTTGCCTATGGAGAGCACCAGGGTAGGGGTTGGGGATGGGTGGTTATGCTAGGGCTTACTGAAAATGCTAGCCATTACTTGATTAACCATGCTGTTAGGGTTAGGGTTTGGACACATTGAAGGCAAAATTCAATTGAGATAGTGAAGTTGACTGCTTGGTGGGTAGAGTTACCCGGTATCTGTATTAGTGGGAGCTAGCAGGTACCGGATGCAGACAAGCTGGCCCGGACACCACCGTCATTAAAAAAAAAAGATAGTAGTAAAGTTGACTGATCAAACTATGATAGTGAAAAACTGAATATTGCAACTGATAAAACTAAAGAGATTTTCAGCTTCAAAATATTCATTTTACTGTGGTACTGTTTTTTAAGCAACGGTAGTGAGTGGATGCAGGTACTAATAACTCAATCCTAAATTATTCAATTGATCTAACACCACTTGATATCATCCAAATTTCAATTTGTGTATTATGATAGTTCTAGTGGGAAAAAATTGTTATTTGGAAAAAAGATCACATTTGAATAGTTTCCCATTCATAATATTGACCAATGAAAGTTTGGGTGGAACTTGTTGTCAGTCAAAACAACTCACTCTAAGGAAACGAGTGCTTTGCGAGATAATGTTATTGATATTAGTGGAATGATGCTGAACATTGTGAGATGTATAGATAAGGATCAACTGTGTTTTCTGTATATGTTTAATACTGACTGATTTCTCATTTGGTAGGTTTCTATAGCAAGGACTTGCAATTGTGTATATGCACTATTGCAGCAAAGGCAGAGGGATATTGAATTCAGAGAGTCTGCAAATGAGCAGAGACAACGGTATTCTAGACTTTTGAAGTAGTTCTTTTGGAATTGGTGAAGATTGAATGTGTGGTCACAAACTTTGTTATTTTTTCATAGGTTTTCTTTGATTTTCTCTCTTATAAATTATAGTTCGAATGGAAGGACGAAAGCCATTTAAGAGATTGATATTAGTTTTAAAGTAGTTTGCAGTTCTTGGTGTAAGTGTTTTTAGATGTTACTTGCAATACTGAGCTGGAAACTATTAAGTTATGACTTGCTTTAAAATCTGTTTGGTTTTTTCTTGTAACATCTCAGAAACGTTGATTTATAGGTTTCTGACTTCTTTTGTTATTTCCAACCTTTTATATTATCTCAGTAAAAAGGCGTTGGTGTCCTTTACGAATCTTTGTTCCCTCAAATCAAATCTTTTGTTGTTCGAATGCAACTCTTCTTGATTCCAGCATGTATTGCTTTTGTTCTACGAAAAAAGTCGAAGTTACTTCTTTCCTTTTCTCAGCCTTAGATATAATCGTTGAGCTCTTAAGTAGAACATTTTGACTGTTGAATGGACTTCTCATAGTGAATTAGGGGAGTTTAAAATGATCAATTCAATTGGTGGACATATAAGCAAAGCTGATAAGGACCCAAATACTTCCTATTATTAGGAAGACCTTAAATTACAAAGACACACTAACATTTTCTCATGGTGTACCTTGTAAGTACCATTTAATTTGGATTATCTTGAATACAAGAAGAATAAAGTTCCAAATCCTAGTCCTTAACTATTGTGGTAATTATTCTACTAGTCCTCAAGAATTACACTTCTTACACATATATATTAATTTTGAGCACCCTTAGCGAAATTCCAAGATCCGCCACTGTGGGTGGGTTCCGTCTACCATGATGTTTTTCAATGTGAGCAAGATGTCCAATAATTGTTATGTTTTCTTCTATCTAAAGGCTGTTATCAGACATATCAAGATTAGAGGCCAAAGTGGAGAGGCTGGAATCTCAAATACAAGCCAAAGATAGAGAGATAGCTACAATTACTAGAGAGGTGTGAAAGTCTACCTTTTCTTAAACTAAGGAGTCTAGATGTACACTTGGCTGACTTTATAGAAAAATATGTTTAGGAAGCTAAAGCTACAGCAGCTCTGAAGGCACAAATTGACAAATTGCAGAAGGAAAGAGATGAGTTTCAGAGGATGGTTCTTGGTAATCAGGTTGGCTACTATATTTATTTATACTGCTTGTAGCGATGTACTGTTTCTCGCAACTGGTCTCATCTATGCTGAATTTTTATTTTTGAAATAGCAAGTCAGAACTCAGCAGATATATGAAATGAAGAAAAAGGAAAAGGAGTATATAAAGTTACAAGTAAGTCTCTTCATCTTTGTTTTCTTTCATTTATATGTATATAACTATATTACGGGCATCTCCAACTTATTAAATTGGCCAAATACATAAGTAGCCCCTTAAACTTGTCCGTCTGTTTCATTTGGACACCTAAACTAAATTTTGTTCCTATTGAACACCTAAACTCAACTCTAAGTGTGCCTATTAAACACGTTTGGCACAATTTCAAAAACAGCTTAAGAGCGTGTTGTCAAACTCCTCCTACGTGGCAAAATAGACGAATCGGTATGTGACACGTGGAAAAAAAAGAAAAATATTTTTTCCCCAAAATCTCCCCTCCGCCCCTTCCCCCTTTCGTCTCCTTCTTACCCCGTCCCCTGGTCTTCTTCTTCTGATCCTTATCAGTTATCACTTTTACCATATTGAGTTACGTAATAAAATTTTTGATGAGATGACTCCAAATTACAGTGATAAGATATTGCATAATGGAAATTTTGTGGAGATTTCTTCGGTGTATTCTTTCTTGTTCTCATAACTTCTCTCTTCTGTTCCTTTCTTCTATTTTTCTTTGTCTTCCATTTTCATATCGAAAGTTATTTTCTAAATTTTGATCGGATAACAAAAGTAGAGCAAAAGAAAGAAAATTGGTTCATATCAGTTCTTCAAGTATTATGTGAACTAGGTATAATATTTATCTGAAAGTAGTACCGCTATCTTTCATCTCTATTGAGTTCCCAACTCTAATGTGGTGTGACAGCGTTGAATGTTGGGGTTTCTATATTACCAGAGATTAAAGAAATCACTGGACAGTGACAGTTGTTCAAAAGTTGCAATTAAGATAAGTGACTGATATTCCGGCGTGGCAAATGTTTTTTAAGCTTAACTGTTAAGGATTTGACACCAACAAATAGAAAAACAGAAAGAAGGAGATGATGAATGAAAGAGTGTTTTCTGTTCTGTTTTTGTGGCGCTAAACTCGTTCCTTTCTTTCACTACTAGGGAAGAGGAAGGGTGGCGGATGGTGGTGAAAGGTGGTGGCAGGGAAAGAGAGTGAGGAAGGAGAACAAAATATTTTGTTAAAAAATATTGGCCTGATGCGCTCAAAATGAGTGTTGTACACACTCTGCCATGTCAGCAAGACATGTATAATTGGCACAGTTTGACTAGAGTTCAGGGGTTCAATAGGAACAAAGCATAGTTTAAGTGTCTAAATGAAAAATTCGGACAAGTTTAAGGGGCCACCTATGTATTTGGCCTATTAAATATTAATGTTTTATGGATGTGTTGTGCTATTTCCAGGAGAGGCTAAATCAAGTGTTGATGGAGAAAAAGAAGGAATCCAGATCGGGCATGGAGATAATGAATTTACTTCAGGTAGCATTCATTTTTAGCAGTTCATTTACCCATGGTTATTCCGAAATTTAGCAGTTTTGTTCATATGTTTCTATAGAAAGAAGGGCGTCAACGTGGGACATGGAATGGGAAGAAGGCTGACAATGACTTCTACAAGAAGATTGTAAGTGGTCGATGGACTTGGTTAAACTCTTCCAGCTTCTCCAGGCTAAACTTATAATTGTGTCTATTCACAGGTGGATGCTTATGAAGCAAAAAATCAAGAACTAGCTTCTGAAAATGCCGATTTGAGGGCATTATTGCGATCAATGCAGGTACAATCAATAGCCATAGCAATGATTCAGTGTTTACATTTACTACAACAACAACAACAACAACAAACCTAGTGGAATCCTACAAGTGGGGTCTGGGGAGGGTAGTGTGTACGCAGACCTTACCCCTACCCTGAGAAGGTAGAGAGGTTGTTTCCGATAGACCCTCGACTCAAGAAAGATGATCAGTGTTTGCATTTAGCATCTCTTTTGAGTAATTAAAGCCACTCGAACAATTTCTTTAGAAAAGTTTTCGAAATAAGTCTTTACAGAGTAAAGTTTGTTTGTTAAGTGAGGGAAGAAGATTTTTCAGGTCAACAAGTGCCCCTAGGCACTTCTTCAGCCAAAAAAGAATTTTAAAAGTTTCTTGGAAAAGCTCTCAGCGGACCACCTTTTTCTAAATTACTCTTCTTAAACTTTTTAAGTAATCTCTCTTTGGAATGCCTCCTAAATATCTCAAAGTATAGACAGAAAATATTAGGAAAGTCTAGCCTCCTTTAGTTTTGGAGATTGTTCATATAGCACACTCCAACTAGTAATTATTTAAGCATCTTCCTCTTTCTGCATGTTGTGCTCATCCTTTATGAGGTAAAGTTAAATCCAAAACATACATGTGCTCTTCTTAGTCAGTTTGCCCAGGCGTCCATACGTGGAATATAATCAGTACTTCAGTAGGCATATAACCTCAAGAGTTGTTGAGGGAATAAGTGTAGGTCAGCATGATCTTTCTGTTAAGACTTTTTTTATTGTGTTGTGTTAAATGACCAAATTTTGATAAAACATGGAAATTTGGAGTAGTAGAAGACGGATACAACAATTGCCTAAAGAAACATGGAGGGAAAGATGCTTTTGGAGCCCCTTTGGATAACTTTTAGAAAAAGATTTTGGAGAAAGTGTTCGTGCAAAGAGAAAACCTGTTTGGATAATCGTAGTTTCTTGAAGATCTGCGTGTCTTGTTAGTGAAAGAACTTTTATTTGAAACACCCTAAAATCACGTTCTTTAAAAACAGTTTTTTCAAACGGAGTGGTGAATTGGTCATCTAATCTGCTCGTGTTTTTTTCTTAGAACCTCGCAGTATTGTTATCACGGGACCAACTATTTAGATAAATCACCATGCTTTGAGCTTCTACCAGTTTTAGTATAATGCGTGACTATATGTAGCCTTTGCCAAGCAAGGATTTCAAGATTTCAATGTCATAGCTAAATGTACGCCTGTCTTCCTTTAGCTTTTGCTCGGTATATTTGGTTAGAACTGAATGCTCTGAAATTTGAGAACAACCTCTTTTTGACAGTTTTATCTTATGTCAATGGGTTCTGGTACTTCTTTCTTTTTTCTTAATTATTGTTGGATATATTTGCTGTAGCTCATCCAAGAGAAAAATAAGCAGATCAATATTTTTTTGTAAGTGCTGTTTTAATGAGTGCCTGTGACATTATAGTGTCTGTGGAAGTTGTTTTCGTACTTACTGTTTGTTTACTTAAAATATGGGTTCATTTTCCTTCAGATTCTTCTTATGTTACTCCTAGTTTATTATTTCTGTCAATTTTTGGGGAAAATAGAACAAAAAAGAAGGGAAACTCTACAAGCATGGCAGTACAGAAGAAATCTGTTTGTCACACAACCTTGTATATTGATCTACGGATGAACTATACACATTCTGTTCACTTGTTATACATACTTTTGAAGCAATGCTTTAATTGGAATGTGACTGACCTTCCTATTCACTATAGGCTGCCATGTCCACGAGTGAGTTATGAAATGCCACAAGTGGGTCTTTTAGGCAGTCAGCTCCAATTAATTCACTGTCTTGTGTATTGATCAGTGGCTGATCATACTAATATTCTTCATGTGTGATACCTGCTTTTGAAGCAATGCTTTTATCGAGAATGTGACTGACCTTCCTATTGGTAGGGTGACATGCGTGAGTTCTTAAATGCCCCAAATGGTTCTTCTAGGCAGTCAGCAACAAGCAATGACAGGCTAGACGCAGATCACTTGCAGTCCGCGTTAGGTGGCAGAACGGTATGTGGCTAATCTTTTTAAGAGACTAATCAGATGGGTTATTTCTCATAGGATGTCATGCCTGGTTAATGACATGAGGTAAGAGCCAAGAGTTTGTAATCCTTCAGGATGTTTTTGATCTGCCTCTCCACATGGCTAGGGATCAAATTGAGGAAAGTCTGCGAAACAAGATGGCTTCTATCAAGGTAAAGTAGGTGATTATGCATAGAGGTATTTTGCTTCGTGTTCCTATCTTTGTTTATATGACAAAGATCAAGTGTTGCATGTACCTGCAATAATCACTGTATATCTTTGTTAAAATTTGAAGGAGCGAATGGGTCAACTACAAGATGCACAAAAGGGCGCAGAAGTTTCCTCAGAAGTAACAGAGAGAGAGCTTGAGTTAGAAGCTCAGCTTGTTGAGGCCAGGAGCATAATCCAAGAGCAGGTACTCTTTTTATACCATTAGAGGGTAGGAATTCAACGCGAATTCGGAAACTGTACATTACCGCTTGTTGCATGATTAGAACAGGTAGCACTTGCAAACTTTTTGTTGTGCCATCACCTAATCGAATCTTCTGATGTCAGTAAGAGCCAAGCTATATGCAATATTGTATTGAGGTGCTTTTTAATTATATTAATGTAGTATGACTGATGTTTATGCTCTTATTACCAACCTAGCAGTCTTAAAATTACTAATGGTGCTGAAATTTCATTATTAAATAAACAATGGACCTGGCGCTGGATTACCAGTGATCTGGCTATATAAATGGTGCTTTTATATGCTAGCCTAACTTAAAAATATTGAGATGGAAATTTTTTCTCTGCGTGTTGCTTTTTTGGATAGAACTTTTAACGGCAAACCCGAATTGAGTTCAAGAAATGGTGGATTTAGGTCTCAGTTGCCTTTATTTATTTACTTTCTTACCTATTAAAAACGGTTTATTTACTTTCTTGAAAGCCCTTTACTTTTGCTTTTCTTTTCGTTAAGCAACATAATTTTCTGTCGTCACAACAACTTTAATTCTGTTGAACGCCATTTTTGAATTTCATTCAACTCTATCTTTGAAATCTTCAATGTAGTTATTTTTTAGGCTTAGTGGAAGCCTGAGGTGATAATAAAAGAGAAACAATAGGAAGTAAAATTGGAAAAAGGAGAATTCATCTGTGGCATGGCCTACGATCGTTAGGTCATCCAAATTTAGCATGCAACCACATGATATACTTAGTGCACAATTGGTCAAATTGTTGTCTGTGATGGAATACTGAACAGTTAACTTTGAAGTCTTATACCCTGGATTAAGTTGTAAAAAGATGCAAAAATAAAAATAAAATTTGGAAACAAATGCTTCAAAGGATTTTGTTAAATTTCTGAAAATTGTTCGACTACTGCTATGACAATCAAATTTATTTCTTTAAATTTGAGCATCTTCGCAACTGAACTTTTGTATGCTCTTGTCCGTTTTATTTGACAAATCTTGCTGAACTTTGGAACAAAATTTGACACTTAATTTGCAGGCATCGATTATGTCCAAACATCTTACCAAGTCTGAGAAGCCAAGGTACTCCATATTGGGGCAGATCTTCCCTCCCTGCACTCAAAAATAGGGAATAGGGGAAAAAGAGGAATACACTCTCCATTTCTCTGCACAATACCAAGAGCCATGCACATGTCACTTATAAAAAAAAAAAATACAAATAAAAACTAAAAAAGGAAAAAGAAAAAGCCAAGAGCTCATGCACATANAGCGGATGGGATGGAATAGCTAATGTTTGAACCTTTCATCTCATGTGCATCTGTAAAATTGCAGGCGATTGAGTGGCCATATGAATTCTGAAAGGGACCTACTCATTTCGTCCCCAACTGAGGTATCAACGGTGAAATTTTGCTTTAGCTTCACATGTCAATGACTGTTTTAGCTATTGCAATCGATGCTAATTGTGTTTGTATTTGTGAATTGCTGTCTTTAAACTGAACAAGGTTATGGACTTATGGTCACAATGAAACTAGAGACTAAAATAGAGTCATATATATGTGTGTGTGAGAGAGAGATTGTACGAATGCACATAAGAATTTGGATGTATGGTATTGGAATTTGGTTTGTTTATTTGACCTTGTTAGCATGTAATACTAGGAAGGATTTTGGGGCATGTGACATCTCATGGAGTCATTTTGATCCCAAAGAAAATTGGCAATGAAAGGCCATTGCCAATCCAGGACTTCCTGGGTGCAGTTAGTGGTAAGAACATAAAGTCTTGATGCAACTTTGTGGTTCATTTGGATTGTGGAGGTTTGGTTGGGATTTAGGACTCTTCAAATCAAGGCTGCTAAGTTGTTGTGGATATGTGTATAAATCACATAGAAGTGAGGTAGAAAAAGAAAGAACAAAGTAAACACCTTAAAAGCTATACTGTGTTTTAGGATCCTCACCTAGAAAAGTTGTAGTTCGGTTTTGTAAGGAAAATAAGCATGTGATTTTATAGTGTTATAAAGTTAGGATTTAATTGAGGATAACTAGTAAAGAAGGGAAACTCATAAGGACATTCTGCCTGAGGACGTGCTACTTTTTAAAAATCATATGTGACCATATAAGTGAATATGTGAAAAGTTTAGGGGAGGGAAGAAAATGCTGGAAACATTGTACAATCGTACAAAACAGCCTGTGATCTTCTGTGATCAATTAATAACCCTAAGCTGTGATTCACAGAGAGTATCTCTGGGAATAAACTCTGTGAGTGTCTATTCGATGGCACGTGTTTTATTTCTACTGCAAGAAATTTAGTGCAAAGGAGTCGAATCTCGATACACTCACAATTATGCGTTGGATTTAGATCCCCCTAAATGGAGTTTCTTCCATTACCTCTCTAAATAAGTGAAGTAATCTTTGATTAAACTAATGGCTCAACATTTGCACCTCTACCTTCAACTAATCAAATCATGGGACTGCAGAGTATGCATTAGTGATATGTTAGATAGCTCGTTTTGTTGTCTGATAATAGCTGAATTACCAAGCTCTGCAATAGTCTGCTAATCAATGGGGAGTATGTTACATGCTTGTTTGCCATTTCCGAAGTAAGCTTATCTGTTAAACCATTGTCTTCCTTACAATTTTGGTTTCCTGTGTTGAAAATGATGTGAAGATGATGGATTATGTTGAAGGATTGCCTACTTTGCAATTTTAGTTAGTAGTAACTGACTGTTTGTTCTTTTCTTTTGTTTACAGGGGCTGTGAATTTTCCAACTTTAGATGAGCTTTACTCTGCATGTGACCTTAATCCTTCTTAATGTTGATAATAGGAGAAATATTTGGGTGATGCTAATGAACTGCTATCGCCTAGGCAGGTAAATGTATGTCTACTTCATGATCATTATGTTGGATACTTTGATGGAGCAGTAGGATAATGTCATTTGTAGTTGGCAATTCGTCCGTGTAACGTGATATAGATGATAATATTCTTTTTGTTTCCGGATGCTAATTCAGCCTAGCTTATTAATATATGACGCCCCAATCTCTGAGAGTAAATGTCTTAATCTCTCCGGAATTTTGTCTTCATAATCAGTTTCACATCTGCACTTCATTCTCCTAAGTTTCAGCTTATTATTTATCACTTCTATAAAAAAAATATTTTCCTGAATAAGCTCTTCAAATTAATAATGTTTCTCGTTGATATCTTAACATTTAGGGTTTTAAAATAGAAACTTTAAAGTTATGCTCACTGAGTGTGCCACTCTCTTGTTGTAAGAATTTTATTTCTTGAAAAGCATTACTGTTTAAAGATGGTGTGAGTAGCTTCCTCTTAAGACATCATTAAGTTCATGAATTTGTAATCTAAAAGTATTATTTAGAGCAAAAAGATCAATTAACTTCTTTAAACTGTGAGCAAAATGTTGATTTACAATGATATCTAATAGGACTAACACTTTTTGGCTAGTGCAGAGCTATTTGTGACTGCAAAACTACGGCTACAAACTTTACTGTTGCTGAAAGAAAAAAAACTGTGATTATTCAAATCTATTGAACCAATGCCAAAATCCATCTTTGATATATCAGAAAATGTTGAAGAGTTTTTTTAATCTGTTGGATTGACACATGAAATATAGTCTAAATACATAAGGGTGAAATGCAACAATAGCCACTTTTAAGCACGCTATTTAAAATATATCCATAATTTACAATGTATTTAAAGATTAGCCAATTCACCCAAACTTCAATACTAAGTATCTTGAATTTGAAAATTCAGAACTTAGAGTCGTGTTTAGAATTTGAAAATTCAGAACTTAGAGTCGTGTTTAGAATTTGAAAATTCAGGACTAAGTGTCCTGAAATTTTGAACTGTTAATTTGAAATTTAGGACCAAGTGTTCTGAATTTCTAAACTACTAATTTAAAATTCCGAACATAAGATTCGAATTCTAGACACAATTTTTGAACTTTAGGATACGATATCCTGAAGTTTGAACTTTGAGGTTTAAACTCTAGGAAGTCGTGTCCTGAAGTTTAAACGAAATTGGCTAATCTTTAAATACATTATAAACTGTAAATATATTTTAAACAACATACTTACAAGTGACTACATTATATCATTTCCACAATACCTCATGGTCTTATTAATTTGCGGATGGGTGCAATATTTTG